CTTAGTATAAATCTGGGAAGTCTCCCTTTCTAAAGGGAGTGCTGCCCAAATTTCTACTAATTCATAGAGTTAGACAAAATTTGACTTTCCAGAGTTAGAGATTATTTCTGCATTCATATTTGAGCTTATACAAATTCTGGAAAGACACTTTTCCTACGGGAAGCGCTGCCGAAATTTTCTTAGTTTAGAGGAGATAGACTATATTTTGACAGGTGGCGATTCAGGCGACCCGCCCAGAATAGAGGAGATTCCGCAGTTGGTCTACCTTTAGCTTTAGCACTGACTTAAAAGTAGACTTAAGTTTAACTTATAGGGAGATTTTGAGTGAGGATGTATTATGAAGTTGTATTCTCCATACTCTTATGATCTTAGCTTGGGGATTGGTCTGCCGTGTGTTACAGGTCTTTTTTATCATTTGATTCAAGTTCAGGGCTAGATCCAGCTTGATCCTTTGAGGATCACTTTCTGTTATCACTGATAACAGGTCGGTTGCCGATTCGTCGGTCTACGACTCAATTTTCAACTTTCTCTCTACACTCAACCTAAAGGGCTTTACCCTGGTGATTTCGTTGTTTTATTAAGGTTTCACCCGATTTTTTATTGAATGGTCATTCAACAAAGGTGCTGAGTATTTAATTAAGATTGGTTGGACAGGAGGTTTGGGGCTTGCATGGCTAAAACAAGGGGTATGAGTGTCGAAGATGGTAGGGGTTGACTCCGTGTAGCGCGTGGGCTGTTGATTTGACTCGTTGATGTGATTGCAGGTATGGTTGTGGTTCAGACTCTGGTTGTGATTGTCAGCGATTACATACTTATGTAGCTGAAAGGAGCCCCACTGTGACTGTGAGAAGTGATCGTCCTACATAACTAATCCTTATATATTTATAAGTGCCCTGAGTATTCGAGAGGCCTACTGCAGTTGTGCATAAGGGTTAACCGGATTATGGCTTGATAGGAAAGGAAGACCCTCTGTTATCTTTTACTCTTTGGAGTTTTTATAGTTGGATGTTATAGTCCGTGACAGCCGTCAAAGTCAAACCCCTTGATGTTCGACCGCCACGACAGCTTAAAGTTGTCTTCTCAACCCCTCTGCACAGGATGCAGAAGAGGGTGTAGTATTCAACCGCGCATGGCGGTTGTCCAGCGTCGAGAGATTAACCCTCAAGGCGCGTGTCAGCCGACACTTGAGTGTCGAACGCGACCCTCGAGATTAACGAGGGCCGCGTAAGTATGGGTACTACATAGTACGCCATTGTCGTGACTGTCTGCGTACGCTTGCATTGCGAGTCCATATGAGTTAGCCCTGCGTCCGGACGGTTTTATACCGAGTCTCGCGCGCAACACCTATTCGATTTCCGCATTAGAAAGTTATGGGTCGGCTACCGAGCGGCTAGGAGCGTTGTCGCGTTGTTTTGTGTTATGTCGTTTCGTGTGTGTGTGTGTGTGTTGTCGTTTTGTGTTTGTTAGAATGGTGTGCGCGTTGTGTGTGGGATGCATCCTAGTCGACTTACCACAAACCGCGCTTGGAACTTCAGCCCCCCAAGATGTCGGCTGGTGTGCGGGTTCGATAGAGGCGTACTCCTGCGCGTACCCCCTATGCTACAGCGAACGAGAAACGCCCTCGTCTGGTCCACCTCTGCAATTGCAACTGATTAGCTTTCGTACTGTGGACTGGTAGCTCGACGGGGATACGCCCACCGAAGGGAGGTGACAACTCCCGTAAGGTGTAGGTAAGTCGTGCCTCGCGTAGGCCCTATCCTGTCGTAGGGGCTCGCGAGAGGTATGGCTGGCGCACTCGGCCGAAGCGGCCTAAGGAAGCTCCATTTGTGTGTTCGAGACGAGGTTGGTCAAACTCCTGTGTGACGCGGCCGAGAGGGTCTTGTGCTGCCCTGGTGCGGTGCCGGACTGATGCGCTCGACAGGTGGCGCCGTTGCCGGGGATAACGGATAGCCTACCGCTGTCTCTGGTGGAACAACGTCCGGGTATGGGAAGTGAATGAGAAAAGGCATAAAGGAAGGATGAGAAAGTAAGGAAAGATAATGAATGACTAAGTATAGGTGAGAAAATTTACCTACCTGAGTAAGGAAAGGTATGAAGGACGGACGTGTAGCATTGGGTAAAGGTACGTAGTAAGAGATAGGTAGGACGGATGGAATAGACCGGTCAAGGTGCGATGCTGAATAAAAGAAGTAAGCTTGTTTTTTCTTTCTTATCAGCAAACTTAAAGGGAAAAGTCTGTCTAGATGTTGCAGGGCGACGACGCATCGGGTGGTCCCAAGAAGGGCCTTACGCTCGATGACCTCATTGCGGCCATTGACCGACATGAAAGGAACCCGAGCAATATCCCTAAAGTCGATACCTTCCACTTTTGTGGGGAGAGGGTTTCAGAATGGCTAGAGCGGGTGGAACAAGATTTGGTCGGGCGGTCGGACGTTGTAAAGTTCCAACGCATTCTTCAGTATGTCCTCCACAACTACCACCAGGAAGTGAAAAAAGTCATAGATGCGGCCCAAGGTAGCTGGGAGAGGTTCAAGGAGGGGATGCAGAGGAAATACCGCCTGGGAGACGGGCTATTGACTACCGCGGACCTTGAGGCGATGTGCAAAGAGGATTTTACGACGATAGGGGCCTTTGTTCAAAAATTTAAGAAGAGGGCGCGAAGGTCCATGGGCTTTCGGAGGAAGCACAGTGCGCCATTTTTCTAGGGTTACTCACGACATCGGAGGTCGTCGAGTTGACGAGGCATGGAGGAGGTAGCACCAAGCTCACCTGGGCCACCATTGACAGAGGGGTGGAAGTTGGGTGTTTGGACCAGGTGGAGCAACGTCAGATACGCCTGCAAAGGCAGAAGAGAAAGGAAAGGGATGCGACCGCTTCTGGGACCCTGGGGTTAACAAGGATTGTTACAGACGTATTGGCACAGCTGGGGTATGCGACAGAGCCGGTGGTGCAAAGGAGGGTAGTAACAGTTGTCCAAGTGAAAGGAACGGAGCCGGTGATAGAGAAGGCTGTTCAGGAGGAGCTCTGGGAAGAGGAAGAGCCGGTGCCGCAGCGCCTGATGAAGGTCCAACGCAAAGTGCGTAACTTGGACCAGGGCGGACAGGGATCAGGAAAAGCGCAGGCGCCTCAGGCCTTGACGGCAACCCCTTTAAATGTGGTGGCTCCATCATCTAGTACGGGCCCCTCGCAAGGAGGGGCACCCTCCTATGGACAGTGGCCCTGGCCGGTGATCAATGCAATTATGCCATGGGGAAGCCCACCGCTAGTAGCCGGACTGCAAGCGAGTATGCCGCCACCCATCTACCCCGCAGCCCAGGCCCAGCCTGTGGCCCCGCCGCCGTCACCCGCTCCCAATTCACAGGGAAGCATGGTTGGAGGTGGGAACCAGGGCAGGGCAATCAAGGCAACGGAGGGAGGGGTGGAGGAAGGGGGCGAAGCAGGGATGGCAGAGGAAGGCAATGGAATGGTCAAGGCCAGGGGTACCAAGGCTAGGGGAATCAAGGCCAGGGGTACCAAGGCCAGGGGTATCAAGGCCAAGGGAATCAAGGCCAGGGATACCAAGGTTAGGGGTACCAAAACCAAGGGAATCAAGGCCAGGGGTACCAAGGCCAAGGGTATCAAGGCCAGGGGGATCAGGGAAGTTAGGGGTCTGGAAGACTCCGTTTTGACTGGAGGACGACCATCTGCCAACATTGTGACCAACAGGGCCACACTATAAGGTTCTGTAATATAAGGCGGGAAGACGAGAGGAGCGGGCTGATTTCCTCCACTATAGATGAGAACGTCTACGATCAGTTTGGGGAGGCGATTGACAGAAGGCTTGGAGGGGTGAGGGCGGAAGCCCAACAAAGGGCGGCAGCTGGGCCGCCACCCCCTGCCATGTTCAGGCTATGGCAGAAGAAGAAAGGACCGTTGGTGGGGATAGGGGAATTCAGGTTATGGCAGGAAAAGGAAGAACCACCGATTGGGGTAGAGGAAGTGGGAAACGATGAGGAAGTGACTCAAGGGTCACGAGGAGGAAGTAAGGGGGAAGAACCCATAATAATTGAGTCAGATGACGAAAATGAGGAAGAAAGGATGGAACCTCCGTCAGTCTTGTTGGGGAAAGTGGAGGACCTGCTGGATAAGATGGGGAGGTACCAATAGAAGTTGGTGGGCATCTGCGAGGAAGTGAGGAAATGGAAGTCTAGCATCCCCAAGGTGTTTCTCTATGACTCCGGTTCGGAGTCAGCGCCCGGGCGACCCGGAGTAAATGTGGTGGGATCGTGCCCACAATCAGGGATGATGGGGAGACCCCTCACTCCGCAAGCCCGTCTGGCGCAGGCAGCACGAACGAGAAATTAAGCCAGAGCCAGGACCAGCCAAGAACCTCCGAGGAGGGAGCAGGAGCCAGGAAAAATAAAGGAGGCCGTGGAAGTGGAGGATGACGATGATGAAGAGGAAGAAGACGAGAGGCTGTGCCGAGAAGAGGATCAGAGGGCGGAGCAACGGGCAAGGAAAAAGGGAGCCATGGGAGAGGTCGAGTCGATCGTGCGCGACGGACCGCCCAAAAGGAAGAAGTATGCGGTTCGGTTGGAGGAGGGGTTTGACGTGGAGAAAGTGATCGACCGGCTGCTAGAAGGGCATAATGAGCTCATGACCCTGAAGGAATTCCTAGCGTCGGCCACGCGGCTCCGCGTTGAACTAAAGGGGAGATTGTCGCGGCGCCTGGTGCCCAATGTCCATCTGGGTACGATCCTGCCCAAGGAGGCTGAGTGGGCGGAGTCGGGTACGAAAATGGACAGGAAGTGTGTAGCCTGCGACACGGTGGATCTGGTAGTAAAGGGCTCCAAGTGTGCGGCAATGGTGGACACCGGGGCTGAAATGAACATTATTCGGGAAGCAGACGCAATCAAATTCGGGCTGGATATAGACCGTTCTGACTGCGGTATTCTGCACGAAGCCAGCTGCAAGGCCGTATTTTGTGGGACAGCCTTGAATGTACTCATCAAGGTTGGAAAGGTGAAGGTCAGGGCTTGCTTCTTCATCATGCCGGACGTGGATCACGAAATCCTCCTAGGGAGGTCATTCCTAAGCAGGACGGAGACCGTGATATTTAATAAGCATGACGGGACGTTAATCCTCCTCTTATGCGACCCTGCCTGCGGAAATTACGAAATAATTACCTGCAGAAACACAGGGCCAAGGAGTGTAAGGAACCGACCCAATCCAGGATCGTTCATGATAGAAGAGTCGGAAGGTGAGCGCCGGAGGCTCCGGGCAGAGCCCGAAGCAGGAGAGAGGGTGGAAGCATTTTCCCTCAGCCTGTCGGACGTAGGGAAGGCCATGGACTTGGTGGCTGCGCATGAGATGGCAGATCCGGATGCCATCCAGGCCTTGAGAGAGCAGGTTCTGGAATTCCCCAAGGTAGGTTGGAGCTGGTATATCGGCTTCCGGACAGCGGAAGGAACCCCATATCAGCGCAAGCACAATCTGTGAGTCGACCTTTTTTAGGGGACGACTGAAGCAGGGTTCCCAAAGGCGGTACAAGACGGTAGACAAGAAGTGCCGCCCGGTTCTCGTCCTCGTTAGAGAGGACGAGGAAGCATATTACGAGAGGGAACGAGGGTTGATACGACGAATGAGGGAGAGTGCTTTAGCAGGACCATGTCGTATCAACGAAGGGAATGAAGGGGAGTTGATTATAGGGGAGCCCGACTTCCTATTGCCTCAGGAGCGAGCATTGATGGTGGAGTTGATGAAGAAGAGGCATCGCGCCTATGCGTTTAGCGACGAGGAACGTGGCAGGCTGGATGTGGACAAGATACCTATGATCCGCATCCACACCGTGCCACATGAGCCTTGGAATATGAGAGGGGCGTGGTATCCTAATCCTGATGAGGAAAAGAAGGTGGTGGATTACCTCGACGGCAAGATACGTACGCACGTTGCCGACTATTCGAGTGGACCGTATGCGTCCCCATGGTTCTGCTTCATCAAGCCTAACGGGACGCTGCGGTGGGTGCAAGATTTGGAGAGGCTGAATGTGGTGACCGTGCGGGATGCTGGAGGATTGCCCAATGCAGACGCGCTGTCAGAATCCTGTGCTGGAAAGCCTATAATCTCACTTATAGACCTTTACTCAGGATATGATCAGTTCCCAGTCTACCTGCCGGACAGGCCTGTGACGGCTATGCACACGCCGCGAGGGCTAATCCACATGAACGTGGCCCCACAAGGATGGACCAATGCGGTAGCAATGTTCCAACGGGCCATGATTCGGGCTATACAATCAGTCAACCCTCATATCACACACCTATACATCGATGATTTGGCGGTGAAGGGGCCGACGGTGAAAGAAAGTGACGAAGTCTTACCAGGGGTAAGACGTTTTGTTTGGAAGCTCATTCAGAACCTCGAAAAAGTCCTGAGCCTGCTCGAGGAGCATAGCCTCACGGCAAGCGAGGCCAAATCCAAACACTGCATGAGGGAAGCGACTATCTTGGGGTTCGTCTGCAGCGAGAAGGGCTGAAGGCCGGGCGTGAAGAAGACGAACAAGATTACTGAGTGGCCGGATCTGTTTCACTCAATAACTGATGTCAGGAGCTTCCTTGGTACGTGTGGATTTTGGAGGGCCTTCGTCAAGAACTTTGCCGCTAAGACTGAACTCCTGAGGAAGTTAGTCTGTCAGGATCAGGAATGGGTATGGGGTGAAGAACAAGAAAAGGTGGTGGCTAGGATGAAGGAGGAATTTCGAGAAGGAGGGTTGGTGTTAGGAGCGCCAGATTATGATGCCACAGAAACACGACCCTTCATTGTCAAAACAGATGCGGGGCCAACTGCCTTAGGAGGAGTTCTAATCCAGGCAGACATAGAGGGAAAGGAAAGGTCCATGAGGTTTGAGAGTCAGACTCTCTGTACGACCGAGAGGAACTACTCTCAGTTCAAGAGGGAGACCCTTGCCGTCCTCCACTGTCTGCGAATCTTTCGGAACAACATCTTCCGCAGAAGGTTTATTTTGAGAGTGGATCCGACCGCCCTGACCTACTCTCTAAGGAATTACGTTCCATCGGATCCGACGGTTGCCCGATGGCTGGCGTACATCTGGATGTTCAATTTCGAATTGGAACGGATTCCTGGTAGTAAGAACCGGGCGGACGGGCTGAGTCGGATCAACTGGGATAAACAGGAAGGGGAGGCGGTGGAGAATACGCCCCCAGTTGATGGATTTCTGGATCAGGAAGAAGATGTTCGTCTCCACATCAATAAGTGGTCGCTGCGAGTGCCCAGTTGTGTAGGCTATCCTATTTGGCAAGCGCCAAGTGGGTACGAACGGAGGACTGAGTTAGTCCTCAAACCCTTTGAAGAAGAGGATCCTTGGGGTAGTAAGGATGTTCAGTGGATGATGGAGCTAGCGCTGGCCAGTTCGCATAGTCTGGTGGAGGACATGAGGACGATTGAGGAAGGACCTGGCCAGGTAGAATGGCATGAGGACCTGATGAGAGGAATGTATCTCCTCGTCAACACGTTATTGCAGGAAAACCTCGACCAGTCAGGCTCATTGAACCCGGCAGGGAATGTGGACGAAGTGCCCGAGAGCCAGGACGACGAGTTCGAGGAGGGGGAGATTAAGGAGGCTTTTCGTGCAGAGGAGTACGACGGGATCTACCTAGAGTTGGGGCTTCTTCTTTCATGTGAAATGCGGCTAAGGGATGCAAGCGATAGGGCTCAGAGGATGCTGCAGCGCTACTTAGTGCGAGACGACCACCTTTTCGTGAGAAGAGAAGTGGGGAATCCCAGGAGAGTTGTTTGCGGTAGGAATCGTCAGATCGACATCGTAGCAGCGCTTCACGATGGTATTGCAGGACGGCATCGAGGGGTACAAGCCACGTATGCCAAGATAAGTGAGCTGTACTACTGGGATGGGATGATGGACATGGTCGAGAAATTCTGTCGATCCTGCGTACCCTGTCAGGAGAGATCTTGTTTGAGGCAAGGAGAGCCGCTGCATCCAAGGCTAGAGCGAGAGGTGGGGGCTGTAGTGCATCTCGATCTACTCTTTATGCCGCTTGGGGATCAGTGCTATAACTACATCTTCGATGCGCGCAATAACATGTCCGACTTTGTAGACGAGCGTGCTATTCGTATAAAGACTGGTGTCGGCGCGAATACCATTACAAGGGTATCCCCCCTGGTTTTTGCAAGCGACAAAAAAAAAATGGGTTTGGTTGAAATAAGCCGTGCGAGGCACGACCGCGTCCGGGACCCGTCCCGACTAAGTTAGGGGGTATGTGGGGGCGCTGTTTAAGGCGCGCGTGTGATTTTTCTGATTGAGGGAGCGGCCGGTCTACTCGACCGACCTGGACTGTGCTACGGCTTGTGTAGGGGACGAAGGTTCGTTTTTGGTTGGTATGCGCGACTGATAGCAGGGCTGGCGCGCCGGTAGGCGCGCGGGTTGGCCACAATGGGGTCTAAGTAGGCCGGCGCGAGTGCCGGGCGTTGGCGCACCGGTTGCAGGTCGGAAAGGAAGGCCTAGGCTGTTCTTTTTTTTTTTTTTTTTTTCCAGGCCTAGGCACGACGTGGCACCACTTCACATTGGAGTTCCCGCTCTATTGTGCCAGGGTTGGGCTTAGCCCTATTGGTTACATTCTTAGGTTATTACCACAGAGGTTCGGGGATCGAGGCCAGCAGGCGTTGGCGCAGGAGCAGCGGAGCAGCACAGAAGAAACCGAGGGGTTGAGGGCCTGGCGGGGCTATCCCCCTCAGTTTTGTTGGCATGCGCGACGCCGGGCCCAACCCACTGGGCTGGCGAGGTGCCAACAGCCCCCCCCATACTCTAGTTTACCTACCTTTATTTTTCCCTGTTTTCATTACTTATACATGTCCCGCCTCGTTTGGGGTGCGAGATTGTGGCTGGAGCGGGGGCCCAAGAGCCAGCTCAGTGGGTACACCCATGAACTGTTGAAACTTAGACCCGTGTTCGGATCCGGACGACGAAACTCAATGAACAAGGCCGAATATTCTGGCATACCGGGGCCGGCCAGGCTCTGAGGGACCGTGGGGCGCTGCAAAGGGGGGCTTAGGTCCTTCGGGGCATCAGTCAAAATCGAAGCGGCACGGAAAAGGTCGCTCACCCGGTGCGCGGGTGTTGCACAGGAAACCGGAATGAACCCGGACGCAGGGCCGCGCCGGGTACGGATGGAATTGAGAGGGGCTGGCTGGGCAGTATGGCGCGGTGCAGTTGTGAAGGCGGGTGAATTGGGACGAGGGGCCTCGTCGAGTGCCTGCGCGGAAGGGCCAGTGGTAGCAGCTAGCGGAGTGGTAGGCAGGGAGCGGGCGTTGAAATCGTGATGGGGAGGGGCGACCGACAGCGGGGCAGATGACTGCGGTCAGAGGGAAAAGCGACTGGGGGCATCGGCCGGTCATACTTGTGCTCGGTTGGGTCGAAGGGAGTAGCGAGGAGCCGGGCGGAAAGGAGATTGGGGCAGATAGAAAATAGCGGGAGCGACGAGAAGAGAAGAGGATGGTGAAGAAGAGGGGGAGATGCGAATGAACTCGGACGGGTTCTCACTCGATTCTGAATAAAATCGAGTGGAAGAAGATGACAGGGTACCATTTTTGGGTCGGGCGAGGTTAGTGGTAGTGTCAGTCTTAGTTCTATATTAGTAAAAAGAAACTCAGATAGAGAAGGGATATGGCTGAAGGACGGGCGATGGAAGAAGGAAAGATCRAGTTTTCACTCGATTCTTGTTGAAATCGGGGGAGAGAATTCGAGCCCTGGAGGTTTTGATGGCGGGGGAATCTGATGATTAAGTCGAGTTCAGGGGTTAGTGGGTAGATTGTGGGCTATCATAGACAAGAACTGCGCGGTTAAGTGAGAGTGAGTCCGTCTGGGGTGTAGTGAAAGATTCACTCTCGTTCGGCGCTCTATGAGCGGTATACAGTAACTTTCAGATTGCGAGCGCCAGCGTCTCACAAAGCTTCTGTGTAATGTGAAGTTGTGGTCGCAGTGATGGTTGATTTTTAATTCAGATTGCGAGCGCCAGTGTCACACAAAGCTTCTGTGTAATGTGAAGTTGTGGTCGCAGTGATGGTTGATTTTTAATACCTAACTGATTGCGCTCACCTCCGTCGTCGTGCCCCTCACTGTACCTGATGAAGGTGTTCTGTTCCTATTCGTCCTCGTCGTCCCCTCGAGCGACTAGGATCTGTGCAGTCACCCCGATAGTTATGCAAACGTTCCTGCTGAGGTCGTGGTCGCCTCGCCACTGCAGTCATAGGGCCGTGAGAGGCGTGCTTGCACCCGGTCGGCCCCTTTGAACCTGTGGACAGGTTAGAGTCGAAAAGCGTGGTAAAGGAGGAGGGGCCGCAAAAGTCGAGGAGAAAAAGAAAACGTAGAGAGGAGGGAAGTGGGACGACTTACCTGGCCGGACTGCAACTGAGGATGCGATGCTGTCATGACCACGGTGGGTTTACAGTGACAAGGGCATTAGTGAAAGATGTACAACTGGAACCAGCCGGCGGGGTCGTTGGTACTGTGCCCCACTGATTGGGGTTGTTGCTGAGCACCAACGTTCTCGCCGTCTGTTTGGCTGGACGGCCTGGTGAGACCTGCAGCCTTCAGTTGATTGTGGCTTGCTTTCCCTGGACTGGTATAGTTTCGGATGGTGCCGTTGCGCCTGAGGTAAGCTGTTGTGACGCACTCCGAGGTCCTTGCTGGGAAGGCTGCTGCAGACTATTACGGTCAAGGGATTGTGCTAATGGTGTGGTGAGCTTGCGATTGGAGGGGGCTGAGGGATAAGGGCCTTGACAGATGATTGAGAGAATGAGGGCAGTGCATTGTGAAAGGCTGAGCGCGGCTGTAGGAGTACTGCATTACACCAATGAACATGGCCGCGGGGCCGTGGGGCAGTGCGTGGCTGTTGAGGGCACTGTGTAAATTAGCGATGCACGTACTGTTGTGCCGTTACCAAGTTACCGCTGTTGTAATTGAACTGCGGCTCGGTTGCAGTTGTTGCAATTTGAAGAATCGCTAGGGAGTCTACAGCTATTGATTGACGTAATTTTGGCCAAGCCGTAACTGCGTTTACCGGCCGCCATTGCGGGACCCTCAGGCGTATCAAGATTTCAAGGCCCTCTCCTGCGAGTCTGAGAGCACCCGTCTGATATCTGAGAGTCTCAAAATCATCTCTTCCTACCCTTCTTACTCTAAGTCTAGTCCGCTGGTTCTGAGAGGAAGGCGGCAGGCGGGATTGCAACCCGTAACCCGCGCCAAGGCCTTGTGGGAGGTTTGCCCCACCGATTGCGGGAGCTCTGCCGGGACTCAGGAGAAGTCCTGGAGGCAGGGAATCGAAATGTAACTATTGTTTCCTCTCTATACACCCTGATATAACCCCTACTTGTACGTCTTGCTATGTTTGACTGAGTGTACTGCATGCACCCCTACTTTGACTTTAGTTTGACTGACAGGACACGACTCAAATTAAATAAAGGAATGTGTGCGCAGTCTCAGTTTTAGTTTTTGTTGATTGCCTAAAGGCAGATTGTGAACACAAGGGGTTGCATCTGGGGGAAGGGTGGGTGAAAGCTGGTTTTGCTTGAGCCTCGATGGGTCCTATGGGGTCAGACGAGTTCCATAAGATTGGACGGCTTGACCGCTGTGTTTATTTTTAAGTTTGCATGGAGAGTCATACCTGTTCCATAAGATTGGACGGTCAGATTGCTCTGAATTGTGAGGGTTTGATTGTGGCTGACTTTTCAGGGGCCAAGCCTGTACCATAAGATTAGAGGGTTTGGTTGTCATGTTTGATTGGGGTTTGTTCTGTTTCTTTTGTTTCTAATCGAGGAGGTCTGAGCAAGTTCGATAAGATTGGACGGCTCTGCCCCCCCTCTTGTTTTATTCTGAGGGGATAATCCTTGCTGAGGGCAAGGTATGTCCATAAGATTGGATGGCCTTGGAATCATGCTGCACACAGTGGATCAGAGAGCAACGAACCTGGCAGAGGACCAGACCAGTTCCATAAGATTGGACGGTCTGGCCCAATGCCTCGCACATGCAGGAACCCAAAGGGTTAAAGTTTGGTTATATTTTATACTATCTTATTTATGATCAGGCTAGTCAGGCATGGGTTCCATAAGATTGGACGGCGTGACTATAGCCTAACATAAAATGAAGAGAGTATAATTAAGAGAATAATTGAAGGTAACCCTCGGCAGGTCGGGCGTTGTTCTAAGATGAACGGCTCGGTCCTATGCCCAACTTTTGAACACTAAGCTTATATAAGTTGGATATTAAACAGTTATGGGCGACTAAGCCTTATTCTAAGATGAACGGTCTCGTCGTATGCCCAAAAAAAAGAGAGAGAAGTAGTTGTGCCACCTGTTCGTGTATACTCAATGGATGAGTCAGACAAGTTCCATAAGATTAAACGACTTGACTTTATGCCCTATGTAAGCTGGTATAAGTGGATAAAGCATTGAGAAGTTACAAACTATTGTTTGCAAAGATTGACTTGGGGTGGCGAGAGTACTCACCTTTGTGGTTTGACCTGCATGAGGCTGAGTGAGGCTACTACTTGATTTGAGTGACAGGTTGATAGGTAGTTGCTTTAGAGGCTCGCCTCGTGCTAGAGCGATAGGAGTTAGGTCAATTCTTGCACTTTTCTGAGCTAAGTTTTTTTACTTAGATCGATTCTCGTATTTTCTGGGATCTTTTGTTATACTTGGCTTTGTATAAATTTTGGTAAGCCACTTTCTCTACGGGAAGCGCTGCCGAAATTTCTACAAATCCGGGGAGTTAGTAAATTCTTGACTTTTCAAAGTTCAACCTGTCTAAGGTTCATGTATGGCTTAGTAAAAATCTGGAAAGTCTCCTTTTCTAAAGGGAGTGCAGCCCAAATTTTTGCTAATTCAGGGAGTTAGACAAAATTGGACTTTGGAAAGTCAAAGACTATTTTTGGCTTCATACTTGGGCTGATGTAAATTATGAAAAGACACTTCTCCTACGGGAAGTGCTGCCGAAATTTTCTTAGTTTAAAGGAGATGGATTATATTTTGATAGGGTGCGATTCTGGCGATCCACCCTGTATAGGGGAGACTCGGCCAAGGTCTACCTTTGCTTTGGAAACTGCTTGAGGGTAGACTTAGGCTTAGTTAATTAGGATGATTTGAGTGAGATCGTGATATGGGGATTATTCCCCATGAACTTATAAATTTAGCCGTGGGTATTGACCTGTCTTGTGTTACAGGTCCTCTTGATCAATTGATTCAGGACTTGGACTAGGTTCAGCTTGATCCTATGAGGATCATCTTCTGTTATCACTGATAACAGGTCGGTTGCCGACCCGTCGGCTCACGACTCAATTCCTACACGCTACCCATACTCAACCTAAAAGGCTTTAGCCCTAGTGATCTTTCTATTTGTTAAGGGTTTCACCCCAACTTTTATTGAATGGCCATTTAACGAAGGTACTGAGTTTTTAATTAAGGTTGGTTGACTGGAGGTTGAGGTTTGCATGGCTAAAGCGAGGGGTATGAGTATAGGAACTGGTTGGAGTTGACTCCGCGTAGTGCGTGGACTCTTGTCTGACTTTTGATGTGGCTGCATGTATGCTCAAAGACTGGGGGTTTTCATTGGGCTGCCCTGCGATCGCATATATATATGTATGGCTAGGAGGAGACCCACTATGACTGTGAGAAGTGATCGTCACATAATTGTTTCCCCTTGTGCATATATATATATATATATGTGCCAGTGCATGTGTACCTACGTATGGAGCTAGCGTGGCCTGAAGTGCCCGCGTACTAAGGGTCAGTCGAAGGTTGGGGTGAATAGAAGGGAGGGGATATCCCTCGCCAATTCCTGTTTATTTTCCTTGTTGCGATTTATGTAGATGGAACGATAAAGTTGCGGGCAGAGGGGTCAGCGTGTCGCTGGTGATGCGCCAGACAACTCACCACCGCTCCAAGCTCCCTCCTGCCCTAGGGGCCGTCTTGCCCGACACCTGTTGGGAAACCTCAGGGTGCAGAAGACGGAAAGGCCCTTAGGCCGATTTTGCACCCGCAAAAGGGTTACCCCCATTGGCTTGCGCTTCAGCCCACGCCTTAGCGTCCAAAGATGACCCTTTGGCTCAGAGTAGGCCGTTTGGGTGTGGGCACTACATAATGAGCCCTCATCTCGGTTATTCGTGTAGAACTCCATAGCGAGATAGTATATGTAAGTCTAGCGCCCTCGCGATCTTTTACTAGGCTCATGCGCGACACTCGTCGCATCCCGCACTAAAAGAGTTATGGGTCAGACGGCGAGACCACGAGCGCGTCACGGCCAGTAAACTTGTGGTNAGACCACGAGCGCGTCACGGCCAGTAAACTTGTGGTCTTGGTAACGTGAAGCGGCACGTGGGCGGAGGACTAGTCCCGGTCAGCCTTTGGGAGTCGTGTACGGGCCTCATTATCCCGGACGCCGGGTAGCGTATGGGTAGGATACCGGACCTCCTCCGCGCGCGCATCGTTTGGGCTTATCCACCCCCTTTCCATTTTAGGAGGGCCATAAACTTATGGGGGTTGGAGTGAGTTTCCTTTTTGCGTTTTCATGGTTGGACGTTATAGTCTGTGGCGGCCGTCAAAGTCAAACCCCTTGATGTTCGACCGCCACGACAGCCTAAAGATGTCTACTCAACCCCTCTGCACAGGGTGCTGAAGAGGGTGTAGTCTTCAACCGCGCATGGTGGTTGTCCAGCGTCGAGAGACTAACCTTCAAGGCGCGTATCAGCCGACACTTGAGCGTCGAATGCGACCCTCGCGATTAACGGGGACTGCATGAGTATGGGTACTATATAGTACGCCATCATTACGATTGCTTACGTACGCTTGCATTGCGAGTCGATATGAGTTAGTCCTGCGTCCGCGCGGTTTTATACTGAGACTTGCGCGCGACGCCTATCAGATTTCCGTGTCGGAAGGTCATGGGTTGGTTACCGAGGGGCTAGGAGCGTTGTCACGTGTTTCTGTTGTGTCGTTTTCGTGTGTGTGTATGTTCTATTTTTGTGTCGTGAAGTAAGTGTGCGCGTGGTGTGTGGAATGCGTCCTAGTCGACCGACGTCGAACCGCGCTTGGGACTTCAGCCCCTTAAGATGTCGGCTCACGTGCGGGCCCGACAGGTGTATTACCGCGCGTACCTCCTATGCTACAGCGAACAAGAAACGCCCTCGGCTGGTCACCTCTGCGATTGCAACCGAGTAGCTTTCGTACTGTGGACTGGTAGCTCGGCACGGATACGCCCACCGAAGGGAGGTGACATCTCCCGTAAGGTGGAGGTAAGTTGTGCCTCGCGTAGGCCCTATCCTGTCCTAGGGACTCGCGAGAGGTATGGCTGGCGCACTCGGCCGCAGCGGCCCAAGGAAGCTCCATTTCTGTGTTCGCGACAAGGTTGGTCCAACTGCTGCGTAACGCAGCCGAGAGGGTCCCGCGCTGCCACGTGCGGTGTCGAACTGATGCGCTCGATAGGTGGCGCCGTTGCCGGGGATAACGGAAGCCTATTGTTGTCCCAGGTGGAACGACCTCCAGGTAATATGAGAATGAGAGAGAACTAGGCACGTGAGTAAATAGGAGAAGAACTATGAGATGGGTCGTATAGCAGTCTATATGGCTGTGTGGGTATGAATGTTAATTTGATTGATGGTTTGGTTGATGGCATGAACGAGGCGAGTATGTGAGTGAATTCTGTGATGAGAGTGGGTCTTACTTAGGTGAACCCAAGGAAGGTAGGAAGTAGAGAGAGACATGCCTGCCAGGTCCAGAGAGTCGGGTGCTTAGGTGGTCGGTCCGGTAGGATCATGAAGGAATGGACTACTGAGTGAAACCTTTCGTCCTATCGCTTCTTATAACAGGGGGATTGAAGCCGAAGGCAGTTAATGAAAATGCCTGAGGAGATGGCGGATGGTGGGAGGAAGCTTGTAACGCTCGACAACCTCATCGATGCCCTGGATAAACGCGAGAGGGCGCCGAGCAATGTCCCGAAGGTTGATACTTTCCACTTCAAGGGAGAACGGGTGTCTGACTAGCGGGACCTGACGGAGCAAGCACTGGTGGGGCTGTCGGATGAGGTCAAGCTCCAACGAGTCCTAAGATATGTCCTTCATAGCCACCATCACGAAGTGGGCAAGGTCCCGGATGTCGCCAATGGTAGTTGGGCGAGGTTCAGGGACATGATGCAGAAAAAGTACAGGTTGGGGGATGGGTTGCTGAGCATGGCGGATTTGGAAGCCATGAACAAGGACGACTTCTCCACGATTGGGGCGTTTGTGCACGAGTTTAAAAGGAAGGCGCGAAAGGTGCACGGGATCTCCGAAGAAACCCTGTGTGCCATATTTTTGGGTCTGCTTACTGGCTCGGAGGCCTCGGAGCTGACGAGTCACGGAGGGGGAAATGAGAAACTCACCTGGGCCACTATCGACAAAGGGGTGGAAGAGGGGAGCCTGGACCAGGTGGAGCAGCACCAGGTGCGGCTGCAAAGGTGCAAGAGAAAGGAAAGGGACGCCACCGCGTCCAGGACCCCAGGGGTGAAGAGGATCGTCACGGACGTATGGGCAACGCTGGGGTATGATAATGAGGCGGAAGTGCAAAAGAGGGGAGTGACCGTAGCCCAAGGCGGGGCGTCGGGGGCAGTGGAAGAGGAGGCTAGGCGCGAGGACTATGGCGGGGAAGAGACGGGCTCCCAGATCCTAACCAAGGCCCAGAGAAAGCATCGGAATTTACAAGTGGGGGGTCAAGGATCTGGAAAAGGCAGGTCCCGCAAGCGATTGCTGCGCCGCCACCTGTTGTGACGACAACGTCAGCGACAGCCGGGCCGTCATGCATGGGGCCGCCGCCGGCCTGTGGGCATTGGGTGCCGCACTCTCAGCCTACATCCTGACCCAGTTGTAACCACTGCACCTCGTGCGGGGGTAGTCAAACCCAGCCCGGGCAAATGGTCCCTTATGCGGGCCCAGCGGCAAGTATGGGGCCCCCGAACTACCATGCGGCCCAGGGTCAGTTTGTGGCTCAACCACCTCCCTCCCAACATGCCTCGCAGGCCAGCGTGGCCGGGGGAGGAAGCCAAGGACAAGGCGGACAAGGGAATGGAGGCCCAAGTCAAGGGGGTCGAGGAGGTGGTGGCCGGGGCCGAGGAGGAAATGGTGGGGGTCGCGGAGTCGGTTGGAATGGTCAAAGGGGCCAGGACCAAGGTGGCCGAGGCGGCCACGGAGGGGGCCAAGGGTATGGGAGGCCCCGCTTTGATTGGTGAAATGCCACCTGCTGGCATTGTGGCGATGTAGGCCACACGGTGCGGTTCTGCGAGCGGCGGCGGGAGGATGAATTATCAGGGTTAATCTCCTCTTGTATGGACGGGGACATATATGATAAGTGGGGTGACCATATTGACCCCACGACCCCGAGAGGAATTAGGCAAGAGGCTCTCCGGCGAGCAGCAGCGGGGCCCACAGCACCCCCGACGATGTTTAGGATGTGGCAAGAGAAAGAAGAGCCGACCGTAAGGGTTGAGGAGATTGTGGGGGATAACGAGGAGGTCAACCAGCGGCTAAAAGCAGGGGCTATAAGGGAGGAGCCAATAGTCGTCGAATCGGATGATAAGGGGCAGGAAGGTGAAGGAGAGCCGGCCACACTCCTCCTGGGAAGGATGGAAGATCTGCTGGAAAAGGTGGGGAGATACCAGCGGAAGCTGCAAGCCCTGTGTGAAGAAGCCCGAGAGGCCAACCTGCCTGAGGTCTTCCTTTATGACTCCGGGCCAGAGCCTTCGCGAGGACAACAAGGATGCCCAAGGGTGGCGACCGTAGGGACGTGCCCTAGGTCAGGTATTGCCCTTAGACCCCCCACTCGCATGGGAGGGTGCCACAGGCGGCTCAGACCAGAAGCCAAAATAAGGCCGGGCCTAGCCAAGAGCCTAGTCAGGCACCCAATCACGCACCTAGTCAGGCACCTCCTCGAGGGGAGCCTGAGCCAGGGCGCAGGAAGGAGGTGGTGGAAGTCCCGGAGGAAGAGGAAGAGGATGACGATGAGGAGGATGAGAGGCTCCGACAAGAGGAGGATCAACGAGCGGAGATGAGGGCCAAAAAGAGAGGAGCCCGGGAGGAGGCGGAGTGAAGCCTGCCCGACAGCGTGCCTAAGAGGAAGAAGTACGCGGTCCGGATGGAGGAAGGCTTTGATGTGGCGCGGATGGTGGACAAGCTCCTGGAAGGCCATAATGACTTGATGAACCTAAAGGACATCCTGGCGTCGGCGCCAAGGCTCCGTGGTGAGTTGAAGGGACGACTGTCGCGAAGGCTGGTGCCAAATAACCATCTGAGTACGGTCCTGCCCAGAGAGGTGGAGTGGACAGAGGCAGGGACAAGGATGGATTGAAAATGTGTGGCGTGCGGGCAGGTGGATCTGGTGATAAAGAACCAGAAGTGCACTGGGATGGTGGACACGGGCGCAGAGATGAACATCATCAGGGAGAAGGAGGCGGTGATGATAGGCATGGAGATGGACCGCTCGGACCATGGCATGCTGCATGTTGCTAACTGCAAGGCCGTCTTTTGCGGCACAACGTCAAATGTGATTATAGAGATTGGGAAGGTGCCAGCCATGACTTGCTTTTTCGTTATGCCTGATGTCGATCACCCCATCCTTCGGGGGCAGTCGTTTCTGTGTAGGACGAAAATGTTGATCTTCAACAAGCACGACGGAACAATGATCCTGCTCCTCTGCAATCCGACGTGTGGGAATTATGAAATTATCACCTGCCGGAACACGGGAACGGGGAGCGGGAGGAATAGGCCCAATCTAGGCTCGTTCACCTTTGAGGAGTCAGAGAACGAGCAGAGACGACTTTGGGAAGTGCCCGAGGACGAAGATAGGGCTGAGGTGCTGACACTGAGCCTCACGGATGTGAATAAGGCCATGGAGGTGGTATCGGGTCACGACATGGCGGATCCGGAGGCCATAAGGCGTTGAGGAAACAAGTTTTGGAGAACCCTCAGGTGGGGGAGGTGGAGTTGGTGTATCGGCTTCCGGGAGGGAGGGGAGGCCCTGCGATGGCCCAGGCCCGAGCGACAAGTCGACCTTTTTTAGGGGAGGGCTTAAACAGGGTTCCCAAAGGCGGTACAAGACCATAAATAAGAAGTGCCGCCCAGTTCCCGTGCTCGTCACAGAGGATGAGGAAGCCCATTACGAGCGGGAGAGAGGATTGATACAGCGTATGCGGGAGCATGCGTTGGCCGGGCCGTGCCGTATCAACGACGAGAATGAGGGAAAGCTGATAATCGGGGAGCCCGACTTCCTGTCGCCCCAGGAAAGAGCGTTGATGGTGGGGCTGATTAAGAAAAGGCACCGCGCATATGCATTTGATGACGATGAGCGTGGAAGGCTGGATGTGGACAAGATTCCGATGATATGAATCCACACCGTTCCGCACGAGCCATGAAATTTAAGGGGCGCGCGATTCCCAAATCCGGATGAGGAGAAGAAGGTGGTGGACTACCTGGACGGCAAGATGCGGACGCACGTGCCGACTATTCCAGTGGACCGTATGCGTCACCTTGGTTTTGTTTTATCAAACCAAATGGGACGATAAGGTGGGTGCAAGACTTGCAACGGTTAAATGTCGTGACGGTGCGGGATGCGGGGGGGTTACCAAACGCGGACGCGCTGTCAGAGTCGTGCGAAGGGAGGCCTATAATCTCGCTCATAGACCTCTACTCTGGGTACGACCAATTCCCTGTATACCCGCCAGACAGGCCTATAACGACAATGCACACTCCCAGAGGGCTGATTCATATGAACGTGGTGCCTCAAGGGTGGACGAATGCAGTGGCGATGGTGCAAAGGCATATGATCAGAGCCATGCAGACAGTCAGTCCACGTATCACTCAGCCTTATATTGATGACCTGGCGGTCAAAGGTCCGAAGAAGCAGGAGGAAGACGAAGTGATGCCCGGTGTGCAGCGCTTTGTCTGGAAGCATGTCCACGACTTCGATCAGGTTCTGGGGTTATTGGAGGAACATAACCTGACGGCGAGCGGCCCCAAGTCGAAACATTGTATGAGGGAGGCCACGATTCTAGGGTTCGTCTGCAATGAGAGTGGGCGGAGGCCTGACGTAAAGAAGACAGATAAGATTCTTGAGTGGCTAGTGCCCTTCCGCTCGATAACGGGTGTGAGGATTTCTTGGGACAGGCGGATTTTGGAGGAGCTTCGTGAAGGACTTTGCCACGAAGACGAAGCATTTAAGGAAGTTGGTGCGCCAGGATCAAGAATGGGTCTGGGGCGAAGACCAGGAAGAGGCGGTCGGTAGGATGAAAGGAGAGTTTAAGGAACGAGGTTTGGTATTGGGAGTGCCAAACTATAAGGCCACAGAGGAAAGATCATTTGTCATTGAGACGGACGCTGGGCCAACAGCCCTGGGAGGAGTCCTGATTCAGACAGATATTGAGGGGAAGGAGAGGCCGCTAAGATTCGAAAGTCGCACCCTCAATACAACTGAGAGGAACTACTCTCAGTTCAAGAAGGAAACGCTGGCGGTACTTCATTGCCTAAGCACCTTCCGGAACTATGTTTTTGGCAGGAGGCTCATCCTGAAGGTGGACCCTACTGCACTGGCATGTTCCCTGAAGAATTATACTCCATCTGACCCAACATTTGGATGTTTAATTTCGAGCTGGAAAGGATTCATGGGAACAAGAACAGGGCAGATGGGTTAAGCCGCATCAACTGGGACGGATCGGACGAGGAATCGATAGACGACATGCCGCCAGTTGATGGGTTTTTGGATCAAGAGGAGGACGTCCGCCTGCACATAAACGAATGGTTCCTGCGAGGACCCAGTTGCGTCAGTCACCCCATATGGCTGGCACCAAAGAGGTACGAGCAGAAGGAAGAGTTAGTCCTCAAGCCCTTTCAGGAGGAGGATCCGTGGGGAAGTAAAGATGTTGGTTGGATGATGAAGTTGGCGTTGGCAGGTACGCACAGTCAGGTGGAGGAACTGAGGGCAATAGAGGAAGGCCCCACTGAGGTAGAGGAGCATGAGCAGCTAATGGAAGGGATGTACCTGCTCACCAATACGCTCCTGCAAGGAGACTTCGACTAAAAGGGCTCGTTCAGTCACGAGGAGAATGAGATTCTGGTTCCTGAAAGCCGGAACGACGGATTCGAGGAAGGAGAAATCAAGGAGACGTTTCAGGCGGAGGAGTACGATGGGATCTACCGGGAATTGGGGTTGCTCCTATCATGTGAGATGAGGGATAGAGATGCGAGTGCCAAGGCACAGAAGATGAGGCACCTCTATGTGGTAAGAGACGACCACTTGTTTATAAAGCGGCAGGTCGGGAACCCCAAGAGGATTGTATGTGGGAGAAGCCGACAAATTGATATCATAGCGGCCCTACACAATGGTATAGCAGGGGGGCACAGAGGAGTGGGTGCCTCATGTGCGAAAATAAGCGAGCTCTACCATTGGGACGGGATGCTGACGATGGTTATCAAATACTGTAGGTCCTGTATACCTTGCCAAGAGAGGCCAGCGCAAAGGCCTGGAGAACCCCTACACCCAAGGTTAGAAAGGGAAGTGGGTGCGGTCGTACACCTGGACCTGTTATTCATGCCAACAGGGGAGAATGGGTGTAACTACATCTTCGATGCACGGGATAACCTTACTGGATTTGTGGACGGACGAGCTATCCGGACGAAGACTGGCCCGGTTTTGGCGAACTGCATCGAGGAGTATTACGTGCGATACCCTTTTGTCAGGGAGTTCGTGATGGATCGAGGATCAGAGTTTACCTGCAATGAGGTGAGGATGTTGCTTGCAGGGTATGACGTAGTGGCCAACTATGCTACGGCCGCACACCCTCAAGCGAACGCTCCTGTGGAGAGGGGGCACAGTACCATCACGAATCTCCTGGCTAAGTGGACAGAGGGCAAGCCTGGTCAGTGGCCAAAGTTCCTACGGGCAGCCTTTTTCGTGGAGAATGTTACCGTAAAGAGGACTACCAAGCACGCGCCAGCCAAGCTATGGTATGGGAGGCACGCCACCTTTCCAATCGAAAGCTTTATGAAGATGTGGAGGCGCCAAGACCTGGAAGGAAACCTATCCTTCGAAGAACTGCTCGATATTCGGGCGCGGCAAGTGGGGGCGACCGAAGAAAGATTGCGAGAGGCCGCTGGTCAGGTAGAAAGGAGTCGCATGGAAGATAAGATGAGGTGGGACCAGATGCCGCGAGTAAGGAAGGAGCCATTGGCAGTAGGGGATGTCGTATTATTATACGACTCCTCTTTGGAAAACCAATGGTCGAGGAAGCTTGACAAGAGATGGTTGGGCCCCTATAGAATATTGCGGTGCGGCGAATTTGGGGCCTATCAGATCGAGGAGTTGGACGTGACACGCTGGCAGGATTGGGTACCAGGGACCAGGCTGAAGAAGTTCGTGGCCGGGGAATAGGTAAAAAATTCTACCCTTCTCAGAGTAGACTGGTCCTTGAGGTATCGCATGTTATGGTCAAGGCAGGTGAGGGAGTAGGAGAAGGCATGTGTATTATCATAAAAACTTGATGAACCGAGGGCTAACCTTGTTGTGTGCCTGCTTGCTTTCTCTCGCCTGTTGTGCAGGTCTGACTTTCCGAAGACAGCCATGCAGAGGGGCGGGAGGGGCGCGCGGCCACGACAGAGGCCTCAGGGAGCATCAGGGGGGGATGACTCGCGCAGACCGGTTGGGAGGGAGTCTACGCCTATCTTCGACGACGGTAACATAGAGCTTTTTCTGGACTCCTACCAGGCACATACAACACGGGAAGGCTGGTCTACCTTGGATAGGATACAACACCTGAGGGGAGTTGGGCGCTTCGAGGAGCCTATTGCGCACATTCGAGAGGAGGCGTTGACGTGGCAGGATGTGGAGGCGAGGATGCAGATGCTGAGGGCTTCGCCGATGGAACCGGATGGATTGCCTATTCGATTGGAGGAAGGCAATGCGGAGGAGTTCATTCCGGCCTATGAGCAGTATATGCGCGACTAGGGGACTGGGCAGGAGGATTGGATGCAGATGCTGCCCCTCTGGACACGGAGGGCGGAGAGGTTGTTGGCGAGGCAAATCCGGGACAGGGCACACGACTGGGAGGATTGCCAGGCCCAGTTGAGACAGGCATTTTGACGACTGGAGCCCGAGAGGCCGGAGCCCAGGGTGGAGAGACGACAAAGGAGTAAGAGGCCGCGGGGCCCAGAGGTGAGAGGGACCACTACGACCAGAGGGGGCCAAAAGGCCTTGGCACGGCGAGAGGGGCCAGCGGAGGCCGCCCAGGCGATGGAGCCAGTTTAGGCCGCGGGGCCAGCTCAGGTGGCGGAGCTACCCCTTACCTATGGACTCGAGCAGGTGGAGTTTCGCCGAATCACGCGCAGTGATCTACGGGGCCCGTCGCCGACGTTGCAAGAGCGGGGAGAGGCGGTGCCATTGAGGACGCCGCTCGACAGATTGGAGGCTCATCTTGATGCGTCCTAGTGGGGGGTGTCACAGCTGGGAGCGGACCAGAGTGGACCGGCATGGTATGAGACAGTAGAGGATGAGTCAGAGGAGGAGCCACCTGAGCCGGGGCCTGAGGCGGGTTCTCATGAACCCGAGGAGCCGCAGACTGAGGGGGTTATCACTGTTGGCGATGATAGCCCTCCTCCTACCCCGATTTCAGAACAAGCGCGACAATATTGGCCTGAAGGAATTCTTGAGCCGGACAGCGAGGAGATGTTGGGGCCCCCACCGGAAGCTTCTACGCCACCTTCGACGCAGGTGGAGCCAGAGGAGGGCGAGAGAGCGAGGGCACCTACCACTGTGGCCCCACAACTAACTGAGCCTACAGGTGAGCGCATGGACGTGGAGGTGCCGACATCCGGGGAGCCTCCGCCAGGGCCGCCACCCGCAGAGGAGGGGACAAGTGAGAGAGATCCACTGCGAGAGGGTCACGAGGCGAGGACAGGGAAGCCACCGGGGGAGACGAGAGAAGAGAAGCGCGCGAGGGTGCAGGTGTGCCTCGAGGAGCTATACCAGGAAAAACTTAGGATGGAGGCCGTTGGGGAAGCGCCAAAGCCGCCAATTGACCTCCCGACGAGCGAGCAGAGGATTAGCGAGGCTTGGGCCAATTATGAGGGTGAGAGGGACGCTGCTCGTCTGAGATCGCGAGAAGTAGGACAGGAGAATACGGGGGTGGACAAGGCACGAGAAACAGAGGACTTGGGATTTTCAGCCGCCAGGATGGAGATTGAGCGTGCAGACAGGAGGATAGGCGGCGAGGTGGCAATCTCGTCCTTCCAGCGGTACTCCATGCTCAGCGATGAGTTGGCGGCCTCGAGGTTAGAAGTGGGACAGTTGTCCACCCAGTTGGTGGAAGAGAGGGCAGAGAACCAAACGCGGAGGTCCCGCATGGAAGCCAAGGAGGCGGAGTGGGAGAAGAGGCTCCAGGACATGGCGGCAATGGTAGAGAGGCTCTCGGCCACTAAGGTGGTCGACTGGACGGAGCAGAGCCAGTATGGTATCCAGGGGAAGGAGGTACAGGGGCTCTTTGGCCAGGAAGGAACGACAGAGACGCCACAGCAAGAGGGAAGGGGAAAGGTATTCCTGGACCCAACAGAGGCGGCGGCAAGGCGGGAGGCCGAGGAGAAAAGGTTCAGTTTTAGGACTCCCACGGAGTTGGCCTCGCAACAGGCCACCGCTATGACGATTGAGGTTCTTGGGGACGAGCCGGCGCAGGGACCCCAACCTCTAGGGGAGGAAGGGGGCCCCACAGAGGAGTCCCCTACGATCCTTTTGGAGGTGCAGGAAGGTGCCCTTACGGGAGTAGCAGCATCCACTGAGCCGGAGGTAATGGGGGGAGAGGCGTCTTGACTGGACGAGTTGGTGGCAGCTATGGAGCTGGACATGCCGTCAGGAGGGCCTCAGAGGCAGGAGACCCCGGAACGCGTGCCAGAGATAGGGGAGCTGAGGACGCAATTGGGCTCTTGGGCTCAAGGAGCTGACTCAGGAGAGCACATCTCAGAGCAGCAGCAAGAAGTTATGAGCCAGCCAGTGACTGTTGTGACACCCCAACCCTCTGACCTGCATAGGGACGAGGGGGCGAATGCGATGGGAGGAGTCCGCGAGGGTAGGCCACTGAGATTGGACACTCCAGCGTACCAACCCGAGGGAGGTGAGGCGCTAGCGGGGCCGAGTACCCAGATGATGGAGGCGGGGCCGGCAGAGTCATGGAGTATGCCCCTGAGCCATGAGATGAGCAGGGAAACTAGCGAGATGCCGTCGTTGCCTGGGTCCCAGAAGAAGAAGAGGAGGTGTCGGGGGAGATCAGGCGATCAGTGCTTCTTCTGCAAGGACGGCGTACATAAAGCTCTTGAATGCCCGAAGTTCCTTAAGGACAAGGCGGCTGGGAGAGTAACAGAGAGTGGTGGGAGAATGTACAACAGGCAGGGGCGAGTGGTAGAGCGGGCTCCTGATGGGGGTAGGGCACAGTTATATAGACAAAACCAGGAGGCTACGAGTGAGTAGGGGCTGGTCCGTCTATATGACAGTAGGATTAGAGCTCCTGTGTACGCAGAGGCCGTGATAGGGGTGTACATACTCTAAGTTAGTCAGGCGAGTCCCGTCTAGTTGTATATACATAGGTGGCGGTGTGTGATCGGCTTGAGCTTTATGTGTGATATGGTCTAGGGGATGAGACTTAGTTGTATGATATCTACGACATACGTGACTTGCATTTTCAATTGTGTAATTCAGATACTCTTACTTGTATCTTTGAGTAGGTTCTGAGAGTCCATGACACTTGGGACGTGAGTTTATCCTGCGGAGTGAGACAGTGGAGTGAGTATTTGAGTGTTTTCGGGGCCGCATTTTGTTCCCAAATACACCTTACGAGTTGCGTGTTGAGGGTTTGATTTGAGTATCGTATTGAGACTTGAGGGAGATATTTTGCTCCCGAGTATATCTTTGATTCCAGACTCTGTGGGACTTATTATTGTGACGATCACGATCACTCTCACACTTGTGGCTTTATCCCAATGAATGAGGGCTTTGTGTGAGAGATGTGTGGGATACATCTCATGTATGTGTATTGTGTGATTGTGATTGCCGTCTACTCTTCGGTATACTCGTGCGGCTTGCCCATGGGTGAGCGGAACGGATAGGTATAAGAGGAGGCAGCGCGGTCATTTTTGTGACAGATGTATGAGGACCCGGAGGGGTCTTGCGAGCCTATAAGGCTCGGATGCTTACCATGCCGAATGTTTATGGCTGAGCTGTGAAGGGGACCCATAAGTTGGCCCCTTAGTTTGAGTTGTTTGGCGTTTAAGTTGGGGAGACGGCCCATAAGAAGGCCCCTCAGTTGAATTGTTCTATAATTTAGACCCCCTCGGATTATGGAAGGTGGGGATGCTGTTTATTCACAGCAGTGTAACCCAGGTCGCGTGATAGTCCATCCTGTAAAGAGAGGGGTGGCTGGGAGACCTGTTGAAAGAGACTCCCTTCATGTGAAAAATGGGTGATAGATTTAAGGACATGATAAGCAATGTTTGAATGATAAAGTCTGACGAGAGGAGCCAGGGTTACGAGTTGGAATCATTGGTGGAACTGAGAAGGTTGCAAGTCAGTGCATAAAGATGTTGTGGGATGTGTGGTCTGCTGTCTCTGATCAAGTCAGTAGGCCACGGCCTCGTGTGAGTCTAGCGGTGAAATTATTTGTGATTGTGAGGAGGGGCCGTGCCCTCTATGTTGTCCCATAGGGGGCTGGTAAATACCCTTAAAAGTAGGGCAGATCCCATCGTTGTCCCGCAGTGGCCCTGTGAGTTTGTTTTGCGACGCACCGCCTAGACACCTGTGCTAATCCTAAGGCATATTAGGGAATACCAAACTAAACGGTAAAGGTTAGCACCTCTAGGGCGCAACCCTTATTGGATGGCTGCCAGCCAGCACAACCTGGTTGCGGGCTCACGTCTACCAGCAGAGTAAGAGTTTAAGAGGTTATGCACGCCCCAAGAAAATTACTCTAGTGGGATGGCGGGGGATACGAGTCGAGTCGTTTGGGCGCCCTGATTGAGTGCCTATCAGGAGAAAACCTATCGTTGCATAACCACGAAGGGACTGCCGCTGAGATAACAATGCGGTAGGCCGTAGATCTGGCTCGATCAATCAGACTATGGTGGGCCAAGATGGAGACCTAGCGTTTCTGTACTAGACTGCAGAACGAGCTGAGATGAGATTTACGTATATATATATGTTTGATTATGAGGATTTTCGCGAGGGAGGCGAGAGTGCCTTCTGAGGTCTCGTCTAAGGCCCGCGTCCCCGTATGACTCTGCTTGCGAAAGAGAGTCTAACTAGGATACCCAACGAAAAGCCGGCGTTTGTCTAGGACAAAGGGGAAAGGATGTTTTGAGGTGGCCTTTGGAACTTATGCTGTAGTATTGATGCGTAATACACCGGCTTCCTAATGTCAGGACATTGGAAACCCAGGTTCAAACCCTGGCAGCATATAGTTATGTCGGCACAGGTTGTTGGGGGCCTCAACCCTGAGTCTCTCGGCTAATCGGATTGGTTCTGCTCTCGTCAGCATTTGGAGTGTGGATGAGTTTGTAGCTTTCTGATTTGGCGTAGCGACGGGGACGTCGCTTAATATAGTCCGGTAGGCTGTCGGCGCGAATATCCTTACAAGGGTATCCGCCCTGGTTTTTGCAAGCGACATAAAAAAAAAAGGGTTTGGTTGAAATAAGCCGTGCGAGGCAAGACCGCGTCCAGGACCCGTCCCGACTAAGTTAGGGGGTATGTGGGCGCGTAGTTTAAGGCGCGCGTGTGATTTTTCTGATTGAGGGAGCGGCCGGTCTACTCGACCGACCTGGACTATGCTATGACTTGTGTAGGGGACGAAGGTTCGTTTTTGGTTGGTATGTGCGACCGACAGCAGGGCTGGCGCGCCGGTAGGCGCCCGGGTTGGCCACAATGGGGTCTAAGTAGGCCGGCGCAAGTGCTGGGCGTTGGCGCACCGGTTGCAGGTGGGAAAGGAAGGCCTAGGCTGTTCTTTTTTTTTTTTTTTTTTTTCCAGGCCTAGGCACGGCGCGACACCACTTCACATTGGAGTTCGCGCTCTACTGTGCCAGACTTGGGTTTGGCCCTATTGGTTACAGTGTTAGGTTATTACCACAGAGGTTCGGGGATCGAGGCCAGCAAGGGTTGGCGCAGGAGCAGCGGAGCAGCACGGAAGAAACCGAGGGGTTGAGGGCCTGATGGGGCTATCCCCCTCAGTTTTGTTGGCATGCGCGACGCAGGGCCCAACCCACGGGGCTGGCGAGGTGCCAGCAGCCCCCCCCATACTCTAGTTTACCTACCTTTATTTTTCCCTGTTTTCATTACTTATACATGTCCCGCTTCGTTTGGGGCGCGAGACTGTGGCTGGAGCGGGGCCCCAAGAGCCAGCTCAGTGGGTACACCCATGAAGTGTTGAAACTTAGACCTGTGTTTGGATCCAGACGGCGAAACTCAATGAACAAGGCCGAATATTCCGGCATATCGGGGGCCGGCCAGGTTCTGAGGGACCGTGGGGCGCTGCAAAGGGGGCCTTAGGTCCTTCGGGGCATCAGTCAAAATCGAAGTGGCACGGAAAAGATCGCTCACCCGGTGCGCGGGTGTTGCACAGGAAACCGGAATGAACCCGGACGCAGGGTTGTGCCAAGTACGGATGGAATTAAGAGGGGCTGGCTGGGCAGTATGGCCCGGTGCAGTTGTGTAGGCGGGTGAATTGGGACGAGGGGCCGCGTCGAGTGCCTGCGCGGAAGGGCCAGCGGTAGCAGCTAGCGGAGCGGTAGGCAGGGAGCGGGCGTTGAAATCGTGACGGGGAGGGGCGATCGACAGCGGGGCGGATGACTGCGGTCAGAGGGAAAAGCGACTGGGGGCATCGGCCCGTCGTACTTGTGCTCGGTTGGGTCGAAGGGAGTAGCGAGGAGCCGGGCGGAAAGGAGTTTGGGGCAGATAGGAAATAGTGGGAGCGATGAGAAGAGAAGAGGATGGTGAAGAAGAGGGGGAGATGCGAATGAACCCGGACGGGTTCTCGCGTAGGTACATTTGGAGAAGGGGTATTAGGAAACATCGATGGAGAATGGGAGACGGGATGAAAAGAGCCGATTTCGCCCGCCTCTTAGCAGAAACGGGCGGGGTGGGACTCGAAACAAGGGGTTTGGAACGAGGCGAACGCAATGGTGAAGTCGAAACGGAGTATGGAGGGGTGTGGTAGGAGATATGTAGAAAATGCCGTGCGCAGGCTATGGCCGGATGTAAAGGAGGGGGGAGAAGAGTTGACATAACCCAGTCATTTCATGATCGATTTTAGCGGTTTAAAATGCTATATTGAGTTTCTTTGGTAGGGCGAGTCTATTATCGATGTTAGTTTTAGTTTTAAGGTAGTAGAAAAAGAACTTAGTAGAAATGGGCTGCGCAAAGTTATGGCGGGAGGTGGAGAGACAAGGAGTGAGGAATTGAGATCTCACTCGATTCTGAATAAAATCGAGTGGAAGAAGATGACAGGGTACCATTTTTGGGTCGGGCGAGGTTAGTGGTAGTGTCAGTCTTAGTTCTA